TTTAAGTTTTTTAACTTATTAAATTTTAAAAAGATTTTCCAAAATATACGTACTAATGCTTTACGATTAATCTTATTATTACTTAATAGTTGTTCTAATTTTTCTAGTTCTTCTAAATCTTTTAATGGAAAGAGTTCCATGTAATCTGATTCAACGACTTTCTTTTCTACTCTATCATCTATTACAAAAGTTTGTATTTGATTTTGTATAGTATCTAATTTAGTGTTCATATTTTTTGGTTTTTCATGTATTATTGAAATTTTAAAATCCATGTCTAACAATTTTCGTACAATATATTGTTGAAAATCTGTTGATGCTAAAAGTAAAAAAGTATGTTATAAATAAAAACATTTTATTCAAAACAAAATATATATAATTTATACTACATACAAATTTACATTACAAAATTAAATATAATAGTTAATACTTACAAGTATTTATAGAATCAGGTTTGAAAGTTTCAAAGCTGAGTGCATTTTTTCTTTGACATTAGTCTGAGTAAAATTATGTCCTACTAACAAATATCAAAAATATTAAAATTAAATTTAACATTTTATAAGTACGTTTATAACTATGTAATGAAACTAATATACAATTATTTACTAAAAATAAAGATAATAAAAAAATATACTAAAAAATATTAAAAATAAAATTACTTATTATTTTTTCGATTACCTGTGTTATTCTTATATAATTCAATACAACATTTGTCTGGATTAATTTTCTTTATTATATTCTGGCTTGTTAGTGTACTATTATTTTTATACTGTATTTGTTTAACTATATTCTTGTCTATAAGTTAAAAATAAATATAATGGTAATACGTATATTATGCGTAGTACATGCNAAAACTTATATATTACATATATATTTTTCTAAATTTAGTAGAATTTAAATACATAATAGTTTGGTATAAATTGCAGAATATATTGGCATTAATCTAGTAAAATTTAAATATATTGGTATAAATTACCTGTATTCTTATTTTTTACAGTACAAAGTGTCTCACTTGATTTCTTAAAAAAATTTATTTTTGTTGAACGATTGTCGTTCTCATAGTCTATCTGTTTTGATACATGTTTNTCTATAAATGAAGAATAAAATTGTTGAAAGTAAAATTGTAGGTTATATAATATAAATTTTCTGTTTTACATTACTGTATTAAAAATCTTTTAACTAACTTTTGAATAGCATTTTAATGGCTGAATTTTCCAATAATTGCTTATTAAGATTTGTATTTTGTGGTACTTTTGGATAAGAAGGTACAGGAACAAGGTTTTCTTCTTCACTGAAACTTTCTTCGCTGTTTATAACAGTTTTTGCTCTATATTTTCTACTTTTTTTTAAAGTATCATTATCTTCACTTTCAGAATTTACATCAGATATAAATTCCGCTTTCTTTAATTTCTTTATTCCTTTTTNATATGTATCTTTAAAAAAGAAAATGAAAGCAAATAGAAATTATTGAAAAATTAGGTGCGCAACTACGTTCTCGCTGTTTTTTGTTTGAAAATGCAACTTTATTGTGAAAAAATGGTTACAAATGAATCATTCAAAGTATTGCCCATCGGTAGCTACAACTTTTTCCTATTTTTCTGGCAGAGCTCGAATACCGTTACGGTAAAAGTGTTCGTCTTTTGAGGGTATCCACCAATCAAGCCATTTTTTGATGTCTTTATATGAGCGAAACTGTTGATCAGCCAGACCATGTGCCATCGAACGGAACAAGTAATAATCGGACGGCGCAATATCTGGAAAATATAGCGGGTGGGGTAGGACTTCCCATTTGAGCGTTTTCACGTAGGTTTTAACGGGTTTGGCACATTGAGGCCGAGTGTTGTCATGCAGTA